TTAACGTATCAGGATGAGGCAGGTTATGATTGGTTGGTCATTATCACATGATGTTAGCTGACAGTATATCATTGCTTGGCAGCCAATGACGGGCGGGCCACATCCAACAGACTTCATGATTGTTTTCTGTTCCATGTCTGCCCATTAATAAATGACTTTATGAACATACCCGCAAGACCATTTGTCTTTTTAACACCCTTTCRCCGTGTTTCTGCCCATTCTTGTCACGACACAAAGTTTACTATATACAAACGTTCTCAGTCAGCCAGATTCATAGTTTCAGGAGCTGCTTGAGTAAAACTTCCCCCTCCTCCTCATCCTCTTCTTTGAAAAAGAGACCAAAAATCAACATCCAAAATCAAAAAGAAAAAAAATCAGTAGGTCCTCTGGATGGGTTCCTCTTTAGTGAAATGATTTGTCTGTCCTCAAAGAGACTTCTTCAGTCTGATGAGTTTCGGGTGAACTCAGCCTTATAAGCACTGCCTCCACATGGACAAACAGGTTAGTCACATGCAAAAGAGGTGCAGCTGCTGCAGTCACTGCCCCTCGCTTTAAAAACAGTCAGGTGATCTGTYGTGGTTTTGTTGTGCTCGTGAACACACAGTGTTACARGGAAAATGCTGTGCGAGGTGCTTTTWGAAATATAAAATATGACTTAAACCYCGGTGGAAAATAGTCCAGGAAACGCTGAGGGCTTCCCCAGGAGGTGTTCACCTGAGCTGAGTGAARCTGACCCCCCACCCACAGAGAAAGTAAAAAGGGCAGCGCTGTCAGTCAGAYGGCACGACCCGCYCTGCTCTGTTCTGATTGGGTAAAACTTTGACCGTAGTTCTCTTTATTGGGTGAAAGAACCGTCAGTTTAATCCCTAGACGGCTTTAGCAAGTTGTTTTTTTCTCCCTTCAATTTTTACAGTGACGAACATCTGAAAACTCTAATCTAGGTCTTTGTTTCTTGGTTGTCCACCGRACAACCGGTAGGCAGGATCTGGTTGTCCGAAATGAAAATAGGTTGTCTTGGATAACCTAAACAATGGTTGTGTCAACCCCTGATTTACATTGATTTAAAAAAAAACATTCTGAAGGTGTTGCGGCTTTTATTTTGCCGTGGCGAAGCGCCACGATCAATTACATGTAGGGGAAACCCTGGAGTTCATTTTTCCCTCCAAGAAACTTTGAGTTTTCTTTATTGGCTTGTTGCTTTTTAGTTTGATATTGTTTGTGAATGATTTATCACTTTGACTAATCAGCTAAATCATGAAACACTGTTGATTATGGTTGTAAACCCACATATATTCCTAACGAACTGATACAATATAAATGTCACAAACCAGATKGTAAATACTTCCTGAGGAATGCACTCAATCTTTGAAAAAAAAAAAGACTTGCCAACTGCTATGACAGCAATTGATTAAAAAAAAAAAAACAAGCAATAGACTGTGGGGTATTACTGTACACCATTCTTCCAGAATATGTCCTGTGTGCACTATGGGCAGCCCAGCGCAGGGAGGGTGCACACAGGCAGTGCCCAAGTTCATCCCTGGTAGACAGAACTACCCAGAAAAAAAGCTAGTTTTTCCAGCAGTTGGGTGCCTGACACTTCAGCAAAGAAAAACCTTCATATTTATTGATAACAAGGAGAAAAATAYGCAAAAAAARAAACATGCAAAAGTGTTTGTTCATAAAASCTTTGAAGTCTGGAAATTTTGGCTTCTTCTGGTTGAGGCTACCGCAACAGCTGCTTCCATGTTAATCCAACACTGAGTAAAAATCAGTGTTTTKAAGTTTTACTAAAAAAGTAAAATCTACAATGAATAAGCTAAAATAGTTATTTGGTTACAGGGATTACATCTGATGGTGTGCTGCAATGAACACTTCTTGAGCACATTGGTGCACACACACCAACATACAGGGGTTTGTGCGTCACACACCTACCACACAAACTCTATTGATTAAATGTGCTGATGTGTGTGTGACATACCATCTCTTTTACATTTGTGTGTGAGTTGTCATTGTGTGTCCCACAGCATACCTAGTGGCAAACTTTAACTTTAGGTTTATCCACTTCATTCTTGACATTCTTGCTGTAAAATGAATTAGCTGATCAATTACCCAATCTGTTAGCAGAAATGGCAGTGAAGTATCCTTTCATAGTGTCTAATAATTAAACACATTTTTTTCACTTTTTATCTTCACGTTTTACACATTGGAACATTGAAAATTTGAACATTTCCCACATTCATTGAATAAACAATGCACTGTACCTAAAACTGTGGAAAAAAAGTAAATAAAAGCACAGTACATACAACATTTAAACTAAAAAAAGGTCATAACAAATCCATGAAAAACAACAAAATTTCAGAAAATACCAACCCACTTTGTCAAGCTGAAATATATTTCAAAAGATCTTTGATTAAAAAGATCAATATTCATCAAAGGTATATAGTGAAGTATATTTACTTTGTTACAGTACTTAAGTCATTTTAATGTAAATAATACATATAAAGCAATTTATTCAGCTCAGTTTAGTGGAACCAGTTGACATAACTTGGTTAAATAAACTCAACACTTAATTTTGTCAAGTGTGTGTACAAGTACTTTCCCAATGGCGGTTTTTCAATTTTTACTTAAATACTTTTCTTATTAAAATTTTATGTTACCAAAACAATTTCTGTTTAGTTTTTATTTTTACTTAGCTATTTTTTCAAGTATTTTAAACACCTCTGGTATTCATTTGTAGAACAGATTTACATTGTATGTATTTGTTTGACTCAGTTTCCATTCATAGTCAGGGTTGATTGTGATTTAGTTTTTTAGCAACCAGTATTGAAATATATAAAATGTATCTTTGATTTGAATTTAAATTCTCATTTAACATGACCCACAATATGTAAAACAGAGGACTTGATGTAGCCTCCATCTCCAAAGACTTCTCCAAAAATCTTTATATAAAGAACATTTATTTAGAGTTTTGCTAAACTGCGTTTGCCTTCTCTACTATTAAAGTTGCTCTATTTAAGATTAGGGCTGCCACGATTAATCGATTAATCAACGACTAATCGATTATTAAAATAATCGATGACTAATTTAATAATCGATTAATCGTTTTCTTTTTTT